ACACTCGTATGTTAGGGCACTCGTATCTCGAGGTACCACTGTAGTTTCTGATTATAGTGATCCTATCATAGGGTTTTCTTGGCAAGTTTCTTCAGAGGTTTGTTTTTGTTATTTTTTTGCCATTGCCTTCTCCTGAGGCTGAGAGAGTGGGAGGGGTGGGAGGGGTGGGGGTGTATTTGGTGATGTGTTTTACCCTTGTATTGTTTTAATCTGTTGTACGCCGCACCGGTTGCTTTGCAGAGGGGCGGGTTAGAAATAACATTTATTATTATTTATTATTATTACCCAAGGTGGGATTACATGACCGAGCTGGGATTCGAACCCTGATCCTCAGATTCGTAATCCAACACTCGAACCGCTACCCCACACTTGCTCTCTAAGGGCCTCCAGAAATAATCAATTTTGAGACCACTTTAACTGTCCTGGTTCAATACTAGAGAATTATGGGAACTGCAGTTTTTTTCTGAGGCATTGAGCCTTCTCTGTCAGAGATCTCTGGTGCAATAATGAACTACAGTTCCCATGTTTCCCAAGCACTGAACCAGGGCAGTTAAAGTGGTCTCAAGCTGCATTATTTCTGGCAGTCTGCTGAAGCCCTAAGTCAGTGGTTCTCATACTTTTTTACCCTGGTGATGCCCTTTCATCGGTCCCCAAACTGTGGTCTTTAAGGAATTTTGGACTTCAGCTCCCAGAATCCCAACTATTGGCCAACATGGCTGAGGCTTCTGGGAGCTGAAGTCCAAAATCTCTTAAAAGGCATAGTTTGGGGACCATTTGTTCCCCTTCCCTCGGCTGGACATAGTATATGAATGAAGACATTTTGTTTAATGTGCGTGTTAATGTTCACACGTTTACATATATTCCCATTTTAACATTTTATAAGGAAATAGCTCTCCTCCTCCCTCAGGCAAAGGCTCCAAGGCTGCATCCTTGCTGCAGAAATAATCCAGTTTGACCCCACTTTGGCCTCATTCCCATTACATAATAACCCGGTTTGCAAGCTGATCTGAACTGGTTGAAATGGCTCTTGTTCGCACTTACGTTGATTCCCTGACCCGGTTTGTGAAGGGGGCCCAGCGCTAAACCCCATGTTAGCAACCTGTTACACTTAAAATCACTAATTTTAAAATTGAAATCACTGAGGCATCCTCCATTCCAACTGCCACTGCTGTGGCCTCTGAGGGAGA